GTCTCAGAGGCAGTCGGGCATTCGCGGTGCCCTACTCAGGTTGGTGTGTCCCGCACCGTTGTCTCTTTACGGCACATTTTCACATCTCCCGCGGCCGATTCAACTTGTTGGCCAAAACAAACGATTAAGAAGGCGCACACAGACAGAGCTACTGTCTACCACTGTTCATTGACCTATTGTGAGCATCACATGGAAATGTACATTTGCAAGAAGTGGCCATTATTCAGATGGGTGTTTCTGTCTGCACCTCTATTCTTTCTCCCATTATCCTCCACAATCTGCCTAGAAGTATTTTAACGTTGTAGCTGTTCAAGATGGTCATTTTAAAATGTGTTAAAAATATACTGTTAGTAGTTAAACCAATTATAATGTATGGCTGCAACTGACAGTTATGTAGGCACATTTTTTATTAACGCTGTGTGATTAAAAGAATAAACACAAATCGCAGGATAGGCAATACAAAACTTTATTTCGTACCTTGATACTACAGCCATTGATAACACAGCATTAGACATATTTGGCAAACTCTTTAAAAAAAAAATTGTATTACACACTATTTGTCGTATTGCATTTTTGTCGATTGTTTACATTGTACAGTTCTTTAGACATATTTGCTATATCTTATCCCACTGAAAAGGCACTGCACCGACACCGTTAAAATATTGGCATAGTTCATCCCTTTGCTGCTTGGCTCGAGTTGGAATATTGGTTCCGTGTGGCAGGGTGGCCTGCCGTAGTTCAGGGTCTTGTCTCCATCTTCCTGGGACAGCTCTCGACACAGGTTCGGGATAGCCCCCTGAGCTTCTCGCTGCAGTATCCATGTTTTCACCCATTTAGTGCGGTTTCTCCTGATTTTTCGCTTCCGCTTCTTAATCTCTTAATTTGTTGTTTGTTTATATCACGCAGTCTGTTCTTCTTCTCTCAGTCTGTCTTCCGGTTGTTGCCTATTTTGAATGATGAATACACACTACCGCTGCCTGCTGGTAAGGAGAGTTATTGCCACTCGTCGACTGAAGTCTTTGCAGTGTGTTCGTAGGCGGGCGGCGTAAAAGTCGGGACGCCTTCGGTACGCGTTCTTTGGTCTCAGGTTGGTGTGTAGTAGTGGCCTTTAGAGATGAAAAGAAGGAGAACGGTCCAATGCTAGTGTTAGCATGTAGCCACCCGGTGACTGGAGGTTGTGGCTAGCTGTAGAGGTAGCGGTCACGGGTACTAGGGCTTTCCGCACCGGGACAGCTAAGAAACTATTCGTGAAACAAATTGATTTTTTCCCACCGTAGCTGTGTTGTGCAGAGATAAGGGTGTCCAATGTTCGTGGCCAGCTGACGGCAGGGAGTTGACGAGATTGTTGACGGCCAACGGCTGGTAGCAAACGGGCTAGCAGGCTAGGGTCCGGTACGCAGAAAAAGCAAATAGGTAACGGAAAACTACTTGAACAAAGTAGCGATTCAGTTGGAGCCAATATTGACAGATGTTATATATAGCTAACCGATGTATAAAGAGATCAAATATGTTCAAGAACGAACTGAAAGTAGGATAGCGGTGGAGAAGCGGCAAAAAAACCACGCCAGCGTCCTCTCCTATCGGCACATAGCTTCATGGTTCAATGGGAAAACACATGTGATATTTGCACTGGGAGTGATCAGCTGTGCTCAATTTCCATAACTAGAATACAGATTTAAAGGTAAATAAAATGTGAGTTGCCTCTGATTTGCAGTTGAACATACCCAGCATGCACCTATCATTTATATTTATAGACACGTTTATGGAGCGCTGTAACGACACCCACGCACGTCCAGCAATAAATGACTGTCTCCCTGGAGAAACATTAATAAAGCTGCCATATGACACAAATACGTGTGTGTGTGTGTGTGTGTGTGTGTGTAGGGGAAAACACAGCATTCAACATGTTTTTATTTCTTATTTGACAAAATGACGTACGATTTATTTCAGGGTTTTATCTGTAAATGTGATATTTATGTGAGTATTTATACTTTCCACTGCATCAGTTCTCATAAACCGCCTTTGTATGTATGATGAAATAATAAAAAGAATCGGAATCTCAGAAGGGAAATGTAAAGCAAAGGAGCAGTGCAGATAAAAAAAAAAAAAAAGGTCATGGCCTCTATGTATACTAGGGATGTTAAGATTCACCGACTCGCATCGGTGCACCGGCATAAACGTTCAAGTTGCGAGTGCACCGGTTGAAAGAGTGCACATCGGCTACAGTTTGGGTTGAACTCGCGATGCATCGATTGTAGCGTCTTTGCATCGGTAAAAAAACAATTCATTCATATAATATCCCCTCATCCTGTCAGCACTCAGCAGAGACAATCTCTGATCTTTGCTTCGCACTACGGAGGCCGAGAGTCTCAGTTATCAACACACATGGAAGTCGAGGAGAAAGAGAAACACAGCGCACCGAAAAATACCTACGAATCAAACATCTGGCAACACTTCGGATTTTTCAAGAAAGACGGTCAACTTGAAAAATCGCTCGCAAATTGTAAACGATGCTGAGCCGCTTTAAAGTACACAAGTAGTACGAGGAACTTAGCGACGCACATAAAGAGGCGACATGGGGTCTGCGGCTGAAAAGAGAAACCTGAAAGTTAGACATATGAATCAAATCACTCAGTGAGGTGTTCTGTCAGAGAGAGGTGTTTAGTTTACAGCAGCCTGTGACGGCCAATAATAGTTTAAATGTCTTCCTTACTGTAAGCAGTTATGAAATACCTGTTTGTGGAAGGTTATTCGTATTCTTTATTGTTCAAATAGAAACCACTGCTTTCTGCTCACTGGTGAGTTAGCCTATGAATGAGTGTTAACCACATCAGGCTGGCAGCTGGATAGGCATTGCTCTATGGTAGTTGTTATTTGTACATTGTTAATCATGGGCAATGCATCCTTACATTGTTTAACTGTGAGGTGTTATACAATTGTACTCTGGAGAGTTTTTTAAGGTAAAAAAGAAACAGCATGATGGGATGTACTAGTAGAGAGAACCAAATATGTAAAGCACTTTTTTGTTAATGTATGATTTGCTGCATGTAAGGAATAAAACAAAAATCCTCTGTCGTACCATATTGAAGTATCATTATTGCATCGTGTTGAATCGCATCGTATCACCCCGAATCGCATAATGTTGAATCAAATCGTATCAAACTGTATAGGGGTGAATCGTATTGTATTGCATCGCCTGGTGTTTCAAATGTATCGTTAATGTATCGTATCGTTGGCAACGTATCGAGATGCGCATCCCATCGGCCTCAGTGATGGAAATGCCAACCCTAATGTAAACGGATCCCATCATACACAGAGTCAGTATGTAATGATCGTTAGAGGTAGATCAGTTATTCCCTGATTGGCAGATTCCACCCACACTGACGGAGGGTCACCATATTTCAAACTTCTTGTCTTTCACAAAGGATGTCCTCTCCACAATTTTGTTTCCGAAAAGTCTAGAAAAATCCAAAAGCAGAGCACAGACACCAGTCAGAGAGAACAATACGTTGAATAGCAGTTTTATAATGATGAATGATTCCTCTGAGAGCCTACGAGTACAAATGGTTCAGTAATTATGGTTTTCTCACTGCACAGTGTGAATGGAGGGGTTGATGGAGACCAGTTGGAGTAAGAAGTCAGTCGAAGCATCAGTGATGCTGTTGTGGCTCAGACTGTAACACAAACACAAACAGAGGAACTTTTAGTAATGTAATACATGGGCTGGGCAGTATGGGTACAGTCCAAACTAACATTATGTTCACTTGTATGTCTCCATTAGTTATGTCACTTTTCTGACACCGCCACTGAACAGGTTTCAGTCAACAAAGCCCTGAATCAAATGATCAGACAGAGAGATTCACACCCCAAACTAACGAGTACCTCCACTAAAACCTATTTTCCACATGAACACCTTTGCCACTCACTCAAGGACTTGTACTTTGTGCAGCTGCGCGCTGAGTGTGAGCAGCAGCTGGTCAGTGAGCTGACAGTGACTGAGATCCAGCTCTGTCAGCTCTCAGAGGAGTCCAGCATCAGGGCCAAGGCTGCACAGGCCCTCTGATCCAGTGAGCTGTGACTGAGGTCCAGCTCTCCCTCCAGGGCTCTGCAGAGGGTTAGGGCCCGTCCCACTGTGTCCCTCTCACTGTTCACAGGAACCAGGGACACCAGCTGGAGGAGGACAGCTTTACTGGCTCTGAACAGGAGGAACAGAGCAAACTGATGTGATGCAGAAAGATGTATACAAACAGCTTCTTCTCTGGTTTAGTGGTCTTCGTACCTGAGCTGTACTTTGTGTAGGACAGGAAACAGCAGGTCTAATCCGCTGTCCTGAACCTCACAGTCCTGCAGGATGAGCTGTGTTCCCTGTCTGCTGCGTCTCAGGATGGTGGAGACGGCCCTGCAGTCTTCAGCCGTCAGACGGAGAGTGT